CCTCTTTCCTCCTCCCCACTGAAACCCAACGGAAAGATACACTTTTATAGACGCTTCTGCAGTCCATTAACGTTTTGTTTATAACAATCTCTAAACATTCCAAAGCCATAATGCTCTTCTACTGAAGCGAGCACTGTGCCTTCCTGCAAGTAATGTTATTAGTGCCTGAAACCGGGCTTGATGACTTGCGGTTTTACGTGGATTTGCTCGTTATTAATATACGTCGAGGGATACGACGGAAGAGGTTGGTGAAAGAAAAAAAAATGTATCGCGCATCGATATACAATTTTCGAGGGATCGCGATTTCCGCTAATTAATATTAAGTACACGTTGTGATTCGGCGGTACGGGATAAGAAAGGAAGGAAAAAGTTTAAAGCCCCTGGCCACGTTGCAATTACGGATGGTACCGGTGATAATTAACGAGGGGGCTTATACGGGATCGAAGAAAAGTTGATAGTGAATTTTCTCGGCTTGGCGTAAAATCGTTGATCTCGGGAAGCGAAAACGAGTCTCGGGTTTTAACGATACCGGTGACGGACTTCTCGCTGCGAAACAAGAGAGGAACGATTTGACGCTCAATCAGCCGACGAAAGCTAATTTTCATTAGCCGTTAATGGCGCCCCGTACCACCGGGCCTCCTTCTTCCTCTCCCTCCTGGCCCTTGACGTCCCTCTTCCTTTAGTTTTCAAAGGGGACGGCACCGCGGGTTTTACATAGTCCTGCGATCGGGGCGGATAATGCTCGGAGTACGAAGTAAAAACGTGAGTGACCCGCCCGACGTAATTTGTTATTCCGTTGAGGAAAGTAGGTACGATGCGTTGCGCTGGAAAATTTGGTATCTTCGTTGGCGGAAAGTGGCGCGAATTTCAAATTTTGAATTTTATGAAAGACTCGTTATTCGATTTGTTCATTGTGGTTTTTTTGAAGGGTGGAAAAAATCGATTATAATTTTGATATATACCGAGAGTACCATACATGCTGGTTTCTATGATCGAGCGTGGACGCCGTCGGGAACGAAGAAAGTTATTCATGCTGGAACTATTACCGATTTCGCACGAGTCATTTCAGAATGGAATAAAAATCGGGCATTTTTCCAAGCGAGAGCATAGCGACGCCTCTTACGGTCGTCAGGATAATTTCAGTAGGTTCATTTGGAAGTCTAATTCATCTGTGTATACAGATATATAGTGCATGTGTATCGGGACTATGGACGTGTCTTACGGGGGTACGATTATTTGGGTGAAAATTGAAAAAGGTGAGAAATTTTTGAAAATCCGACGATCACACGATGATAACAGGTCAGTAGCGCACTTAGTGGGATCGGGCCTTGGTTTTCATCTCTCGACGCCCCACTTGGTAATTTTTGCGGTAATGCGTTCAGCAAACAATCTTAAGCACGGCGATGCAATAAACTGCAAGCTAAATTTAGCTAATCGGTTAATCGTGTAATCAGGGCAGTGCGCGAGGGGGAGACAGGCGTGGAAAAGTAGGACAGTCCAGCCGATAGATGCGTTTGCGTTAGAAGTTGCTAAAGAGGGTGTAAGATTGATATAATTTTTTGAAAATTTTTTTTGTCCATTAGATTTCAATTTTTTCGTAAAGAAGAGGTCTAAGGCTGTAAGGTGTTTTCGTGGACACGGAATCTGGATTCCCCCTTTAACCTCTTCAATAGTCCGTGCCACGCGGCTCCGGTCACCCTGGCAACCATCCCAATTGAAACGCGCGTCAGAAGTCAGAAAGTAGCTGCATAGAAAGTTAGAAAAGATAAGAAGGAGAAAGGAGACAGTGGGAGCAGTGAGTACCGCGTGCACAGTGGAATAAGAGTGGCGAGAGAAAATCTTAAACTTCGAACCAGCAATTCGGCTGCGATAGGGTGGACGAGGGGGTTAGTAGAGGACGACAATGCTGAGGACTCCTAAGGGCGTAGAAACGTAATTTCTGAATAAAATTTTCAAATTGCTCTTCTCCGCTAGTTTTCACCCTGCAATTTACTCTTCGGGAAAATTCAATTTTCGATCTTTCCACCCTTTCACCCGAGCACTCGTAGGACGACTAAGTAATCGCTTTCAAATGTTTGTGGCACGACTTTATCCCTACTCTGAAAATGTACATTTTGAAAATTACATAAAAATATTTTGATAAATAGTTTCGGTAAATCGTGTCAAAATAATTTTTTTCTTTCAAAATATCTATTTTCAAGTTTCGAAGTACAGGGAAGGAATTTTGGATATCCATATATAAAGTGTGTCGTTCATGATGAAACACCCGTATAGAGGAAATTACCGATCCAGCTACTAAGAAAACGTTTTTCCCTCTTTTCCGGCGTCTTCCAGACCATCGTCTCAAAGAAGCAATTTAGCGATTTTTCGCGGCGAAGCGGCGACGTGGAGGAAAATTGGCGAACGAGCAGGCAATCAACCGGCGCTTCATGCAGGGTCGCCCCGCGCTCAACCTTCTTCGGTAAATTTCAGAAACTCCGTTTTCGCCTTTTTACACGTCTACTCGGAGTCGAACGTTTTCAGTACAAAGAAACCGACGAACGGTATGAAGGAAGGAGCATAGAAATAAAAATGAAAGGTAAAACAAGTAGGAAAATTTCAAAAATGAATAAGTGCATCGGCAGGTTATATGGAAGCGCGCCTTTAAGTGTCCTTGGTTAAAAGGTCACTTAGCCAGCCGTTTAGGAGATGTTTTTTGTCCGAAATAAATATGAAGTGGTACTTGACTGATACGCAAGACACTCTATGGAATACAGGAACGTGTTCTCGGTGTGATATATGATGGCAAGTATTTCGAGATCCCATAGAGAGCGAGTGACGTTATAAAAATTTAGACCGCGATTAGTAATACCAGCCGAATCAGTCATTAAATCTTTATAGCGTAATGATTAAATGTGCTTGGTAAACAAAAACACAATACGACTTCTCTTGAGCACTGTCCAAGTGCATACTTGTTCAACAATACTGTATACAGTAGTACAGACGTCATGGATATGATTTTGAGCATGCCGCCACTTCGTTTGAAATTTCTGATCGGTAGGCTTACCTATACACATACGGTGGATAAAGCTATTTCGTTAAACGTTTTCTTGCTAGGCAGTAGGCGCCTATAAATAGGCTTCAAATTACCCCGAGGGCCCGCGGGAGCACAGTGTTTTAGCGGCCATTTTGGAAAAATAAACGGTCACGTGGAAACAGATGACTAGCTGAAACGGGTTGCGCCTAAGCCAACTCGTCAGCCGAGTGACAGGGCGCTGTAGCAATTGTTTTTCAGTTTACGTTAACGTTTCGTTTTCGTTTCGAAACGGTCGTTGAACGGGCCTCGAGTTTGCGTCCCGATCTTCGGCCTCTTTATTGCCGCGGTTATATTGGGTGTTAAGCTGTTGAGCCTAAACTATTTGATTTTATGAGATTGCTCGTGTACGACCGAGCTGACAGATGGCTGCTTTCTTATACACTCTCTTGAATTTACTCGACTACTTTTTACCCTCGTGATTTCGCCAATTTACTCGGAATTATCTTGTTAACTTCTGACCGTGCAAAACATTT